GGGGGGGGGTTACGGGTGTGCTGGAGCCTATCCCAGCTGTCTTCGGGCATTAGGCGGAGTACCCGGAGAAAACCTGCACAGGCACGGGGAGAACCTTGCAAACTCCACACAGGAAGGCCGCAGCCCAGAATCGAACCCGGACCTCCGCGCTGCGAGGCGGACGTGCTAACCAGTCGCCCACTGGGCAGTCTCATGATAAATATTTTCAATTTTGTGGGCGCTAGTGAGTGACTTTTGAGGGGACGTGTTTGTGTGAATAAAATACAAAATGTTACCAATTAGCAAACATTGCTCAGTTTTCAGTCACACAGCGTCCCCTCAAAAGGCGATTAATTAATTAAACTATGAATCAACACGGTCATTTCAAGAGGGACCTTAATGGCATTTGGTGTAAATGCTCTTCTCTCAGCATTCAAATAAAAAGCGGAGCCCGGCAAACTAGCTAGCATCACCTAGCATCATGGGGAATCTGTTGCCATGCGGGTTGAAGGGCAAGCCACTGCTGATAACCGCTCGACATGCTCCACACACTGGTTATCATATTAATCAGTTTCATGGATCACACAATTACGACATTCAAAGTCGCTTTTGAGACTCAAATCGTTTGCCAAAAATAACAGCCGAAGCTTACATTTTAGGCACCATGAAACCATTAAAATCAAGAAGAGCTTGGATCCCCCCCTCGGAGTCCAGCCAAAAAGGCAGCCAAACATGCGCCATTAATCGGTTATCGTCTCTTTCCGAGTTACACGAGTGAAGACATGGACGAGAAGGATGGCGTTAAATGGAAACAAGGGGTAAGGGTGGCACAAAGGGGCTTCAAAACTGCAGGAGTTCAAGGGAACCATTTTGGTGGGGGAGGGTTTTTTTCCCCCCAGACTGTTTATGAGCTGAGATGGAGAGACTAAGTCATGTACAGAGTTGAGGTGTACCTCTGTTGTTCTATTCATCATCTACAAAGTCAGCCAAGAGAGGAGAGAATGTGGCGTTAGTGAGGAAAACGACAAGCAAAATAGGCCTCCATTGTGAGCGGAGGAGCTGAGGAGATCCTCAAAAGTGGCGGCAAGAAATAGAAAAAAAAAAAACTGTCCCGCCCGAGCACGGCCGGGCTGCCTCACCTTGGACTCCACGTCTGCGTTGTGGTCGTTCTGGAGGAGCAGAGCAGCGGCCTTGGTGTCGTCCTTGCGGGCGGCGATGTGAAGGGCCGGCAGACGCACTTTGCCCTTGGTGTCGTTCTCCAGAAGCAAGGAGACCACTTGGTCGTGGCCCTGCTGGAGGGCCACCGCCAGAGGGGTGAAGCCATCCTGCGCACAGGGCCAAGATGTGACGCTTAGACGAAGAGCAAGCTGCCAAACTTGATGCAGAGGAAGATCTGAACCGCTATTGACAGTAGCGCAAGCTAGCATCTAACGAGTTGCTAATGGCTAGCTGCGCAACGGAATGTAAGAGTATATTTGAATAAAATGAGAGTATATAACACCATATTGTTAAAAGTATGAAGTTTCGCGGAAAACATACACCACCTTCCAAATTATTATGCAAATGATATTTTTCTTGGATTTTCCAAAATAGTTTATGCTAATGGGATAAGGGCCATTGGCACAGGGCCAAGATGAAGAGCAAGCTGCTAAATTTGATGCAGAGGAAGATCTGAATCGCTATTGGCAGTAGCGCAAGCTAGCATCTCAGTAGTTGCTCACAGCTAGCTGCGCAACGCAATGTAAGAGTATATGTGAAAAAATGAGAGTAGATAACACCGTATTGTTTAAGTATGAAGTTGCTATATCTAACTGATGATCGCGGAAAATATACACCACCTTCCAAATTATTATGCAAATTATATTTTTCTTGGATTTTCCGAAATAGTTTAAACGATTAGCAGGTAGAATGAATGACGGACTAGCTTTAGCATGTTTGGGGATTTTATTCATTTATTAATTTTTTTTGTATGCTGGCCTCAAGCAGACTGTTTGAGAAGTACGTGCAGTACCTCAGTGGCCATACTCTGGCTGGCGCTGTTCTCCAGAAGGAAGCGGACCACCTCCAGGTGATTCTCCTGGGCTGCCATGTACAGAGGCGTGAAGCCATTCTGCAGCACAAAAAAAGCACGCGCAAGAGAAGCAAAAGCGTCTTGGAATATGCTCTTGTTGAAACTGATTCAGTTCCGGGGTTTGGTCATTGTTTGAGCCATTATAAAAGCGAATGTTTTGAAAATGTCTCAAGGAATATCTGCATCGCTTTGATGATGGCAGAACATTTATAATAATAATAACTACAAAAAAAGAAAAAAAGTATGAAAACCTTGACTTCACCTTGACGTGACAGAGCAGGCAGTAAAATATGACGCCGGAGGCTCTGTGAAAGGTTTGAAGCCTACTGGGCACAAAGCCAGACTGAGCGAGGAGCCTACCAGCTGAGTGATTCCCGGCACGAGATGATCAAATATCATCAAGTGAAAGGGAAGCCACGTCTGGTTTTTTTTTTTTTTTTTTTTTTGCTTCCCTGACTTGTGTGCGGTGTACAACTCACCTGAGATTGTGCGTTGACATTGGCTCTGTTGGTGACCAGCTCTTTGACGACTTCCGTTTGGCCCGCCAGCGAGGCGATGTGCAGGGCAGTGTTTCCTTTCTGGATTACACGGAACCACCACGGGAATGCCGTTAAAGCTCTCACACACCTGTTCCGTGCGCGGGCATGTGTCTGTGTGTGTGCGCAGCCAATTCTGTTTATATCCACGTCGGTATCCAAGTATCCCGGTGACACGCCAGTCACACTGAAGTGCCAAAGGCGTTCAAAGCTCTCCCGGCCTGCTCGTACTGCCAACAATGTGTCACTTCCGATGCCACGCGTCCCGCACAGAAATGAGCCCTTGTCGAGCCTCGGCCGTAAATATGCTCGCGCGAGGTTTTTATGAACCTTGCGCCGTCCCCGTGATGGCAAAATCGACCCCTGTGGATTGCCCCCGCCAGCCACGTGATGGAGTGCAACGTCGCACGAAGGTGACACGTGGGCCTTGTTCTTTCCCAAGGAAATGAGATCACCATGACTGTGAAGGAATGGTTTGTTCTTCGGTCTAACTTGCGTACACACAAACATCCATCCATTTTCTAGACCAGTTGCACCATGAGCATCTATTCTAGCGCAAAGGCCCAAAACGTATACGGCACAAAATACAGTCAAACCTTGATTCAACGTACGCCGCTTACAACATTTAACGTTCACATTTCAATATCTCGATTTCACGTCATACATGTTCCATTTGCCGATTTTGCTTACAACAAACACCTTTATAACATCCACTTCATGATAACGACTCGATTTTTCTCACAAAATAGGGAAAAGGCCTTCGTTATGACGAACCGCAGGAAGCTAACCCCCCGCCGCTACCTATCAATGAACTGTACAGCGCGGGATTCCCCTCCGTTACTTAGCAACACTCCTGATTGACTCTGTTCATCGTGGGACTTCCTGCCGTAACTCACGAAGGCACGGCCACGGTCTGAAAACGTGTCTGGTAAATGGAGGCAAATCCCTGCTTGAAAAAAATACTGGACTCGGAGGGGGAAATCAAAATCTCAGAGTTGAGTGGGCATTTCCTTTTGAGAAGATTGTCCTTCAAAGCCTGACGATGGCTTGATATCAATTACTGATGGGTGAGTGCTGATAACCGATATTGGTATCGGGCCGATACTGATATCGATATCGGGCCGATACCCAAACTAGAAAGTGAGCATTTGGCATCGTTGGTGTCGCGCACGTTGCGCTTGATGAACATCACCATGAACACAGAAGCGTATAAAAATATTAGGCAACGAGAAACAACTCTGTAGCTTCAACCTCCTTCTCAAAGACTGCCTTAAGTAAAAAAATAAATAAATAATTAAAAAACAACGTTGACAGCACACACAATGAATCCCCAAGACCTTCCACTAATCCATCGGACTGCTCGGGGGTAGGGTCACAATTGCGAGGCTTTAATTGGGGAGACGCTCACCTTCTTCTTGAATATTTCATCACATGATGTGTTTGTCAGCACAAGGCTTGTAGCCTGTGGCAGAGAGGCGGAGCGACGCAAGCGGCTGCCAGACATTAATGGGCGATAATATTTCCCCCTCAAAAATGTTTATTAGCGTCAGATGAAAGCGGCTTCAGAAGAGCAGACCCCTCCCATAATGCATACCATTAGGATTTGCTGTTCGAGTCATTAAAAAAAAAAAAAAAATGCACTGTGTCCTCGTTTGTTCTTAAAGCGCATTTAACGCCATTTCTTCAGCAGCGCTGAGGCCGTTCAATGACTTCTAATTCAATATAAATTCCCTTCATCGCCGCCTATGAAGTAGCAGAGACTGCTGCACACTTGCAGCAGCTCGGCACTCCTTCATGCCTTGCAGCCCGTGCACTGATCCAAATGTTGCTCTCTAAATCATCAGAGCCGCATGAGGTGATTGGAGCAGAGCGCGGCTTACCTTGGTCGCCGCATCCACGGCGGCGCCGAGTTTCAGCAGCTCAGCCACAACCTCTACATGGCCCTCTTTCGAGGCCAGATGGAGAGCATTCAGGCCATTCTGAGAAAGGAAACGAGAAACTTGTTAGACCCTTTTTACACCCCCCCGCCCTCCACAAAAAAATTGGTGCTCGTTCGGCGCTAGGGCCAGTTAGTTTGTGCTTAACAAGTTCTTACGAAGAACCTATTCGGTTTTCCACCGGCAAAGAGCCAAGTAGGAGGAGCTACTTACGTCACTGCTGACGTCAATGTTTACCCAAGAGCGCCTACGTTATGCATAATAATAATAATAATAATCATAGTAATCACCGTAAGGCAACTGCTAAGTAAATTAGCATAGCATCGATTATACTTGTATGCAGTATCTTTCTTAATCGTCGTAGAGCAAAACACTGTAGTGAATAAAGGTAGTTCACTTTTAGGGGCAAAAATAGTTTCTTCCACTTTGACATCAACTAGACCAGGGGTGTCAAATTCATTTTTGTCGCGGGCCACTTTGGGGCTATGCCTCCCATCGGAGGGCCTGTTGCGACAGTGGAACTAAATAAATATTTAGAAATTATTACTTGTACACAACAAATGGATGGATTAGCAGTTTTGAAATCAGTCAAATCAACTGGAATCGTTTGTACAATTTTTGTTTCAGTGAGTGTTAACATGTAACAAAATGATTGCAAAATCTCAACGTTATTTATTGAACATGACAATTCGACATTTTGGTGCAGATTTTAGCAAGGATCAGGGAAATTGACACACACGATTTGCTTTTGCGGGCCACAGAAAATGACGTTGCGGGCCGGATCTGGCCCCCGAGCCTTGAGTTTGACACCTGTGAACTCGACAATACAAACAATATATAGTCGCTTTCTTGACCGACTTGAACGTGTTTCAAAAAGTTGAACGATTTTAAAGTCGCCCTTTTTTTCCATTTTTCTGTATGCGGCGCTCAAACCAAAAAGTTTGGACACCGCTGGTTCAGAGGCTTCGATGAACGTAAGAAATTGGATTTTAGAATGTAAGGGGAAGTTGAATAAGCGTGGAAAATCCACCAGCTTGGCCCCTCTGTGTATTAAAATGATCATCGCAAAGTGTGCTCAACTCACCTGATTGCAAATGTTAATCTCGACCCCAGACTTGAGGTAGTCAAGGACCTTTTCAAGGTTTCCAGCCCGGGCAGCTCTCAAGTAACTGGCATTACTGTCAGACTGCGGAGAGGCAAGCAAGCAAGAAAGAGAGAAGCAAATCGTGAATCGAAAATAGAGAACAGTGGACACAAAAATATCCATTTGCATGTACCGGGTCGAACTCGGTCATCGTTGCTCAATGAGCAACGCTAGCGTCCGTCCATTTGCTGTCCGCGCTCCCTTTTCCGCCTTGGCCAGATGAAGATTTAAAAAGCAAAACATCCTGTAGACCGAAGCCATATGGAAGCCAGCAGAGCTCCGGCATGCCGCTTCATCCCAAGCATGCGCGTCCGCCGCCACGTCCCAAAGGACACTCGGCTTCCTTCAAATCCGAAGCGGTGTTTTGATTCCCGGAGGCGCGCGCCTGACACCGAGAGTTCTCGGCTGCAGCCTCCCCCGAATGTGCTGGCCTGCCTCCCAAAACGAGGCTTGTACGTTCAAATAAAATGATGAGGCAAGCATATTTTTGCCCCCTGTCAGAAAATGTGAGCGCGGGAAAGAGGGAGGGGGGGGGTGGACGAGCGGCCAAAAGGAACAGCTGAAAAACCGAAGACGGCGCTCTGCACTTCCGCCACGCTTGCATTTGCCGCGTCGTCAAAGTCGCGCACCTTTTTGTGCGCGGCAGGAGAGCGAGAGAGGTGCGGCTTCATCATAGAGGACCGCAAACCAAATAGGGCTGAACTCCAGAATCTTAATTCAGCTCCAGAACCTGCTCGACAACCGACGGCAAGAGCCCGATCCACAAACAGAATGAGTCAACAAAAGAAACAGAGCATCACGCTAGTTTGTGAATGGAAAATATTTGTCCCCGAGTCATTTCCTGATTACTGAGACCTTTAAACTGAAGCACATATCTCAGCCACTAACGAGAAAAATTGCCCCCCCCAATCCCATCCCATCCCAGAGGACATCTCGGATCTCATGGCCTTTGCAACACCAGACGACCAGCTGCGGAATCTGCTTGTTCAAAGATAATACTGCTTTGTTTTGATTGACACAGAGAGCTGAGAATGTCGCTCTGGTTGAAAGCCAACAACAAGCAGCAAGTCAAGGCGGCTGCAATTAAGGTTTGGTAAAGCATCTGCCATTTTTAAATCCCGAAAAAATGGACAGAGACATAGTTCAAAGGCCCAAGTCATTCACCTGAGCTTAGCGGGTCCCCAACCCGCGGTCCGCGGACCGGTACCGTGCCTCAGCCCATTTGGGCCGCAGAGAGACAGAGGTGGCGAAAATGTGCACGGCTCTAGCCAGTCGGACTCCTCCTAAAATTTCATTTGCAAGTTGCGATAAACGATACGTGAAAGAAGCAGTAAACAGAAAGTAGGAGTAACAAATCGATTAAAAAGCGAAACGCGCAGCATGTGGGCAGCCATGACTTCCGAAGATGAAACGATTTGGACAAGAGAAGTTCCTTCGCTAGCGACGGGGAGGAGGAAGCTGTTATGCGTGCTGATGTCATCAAAAACAAGGCGATGCAAGAACCCCGTTGAGTCATTTGAATAACATTTGCAGTTTCGGCGCTAAGAACTCGTCGGCAGCCACCAGATGAAAACGGCAATCCACGGTGTCGTCTTTTGATCGGTCACATTTGCAAATAGCAATGATGCTAATGCCGGATGTTGGATCATAACTAGCAACAAGTGAAGTGAATACTGTCAGATGTACTCACAGGAAAAAAAATTTTTCTTTTACGGCCAGCTCAGTCACTCCACCTCAACCCAATGGAGCATTTCATAATTTTGGACCTCCTTACATGGAGGTCCTCTGCCTAAAATAGCTGTAATTGCTTCATGGTAGTTCCTTTCTATTTGTCAAACATCTTTTAATTGAAGCTAAAATGTTTGATTTTTATTTTCACATCGACTGTGGCAAAAGCGTCAAAGATATTGTCCAAATACTTAACTATAGCCTTAACTATTGCCTCTCTGGTGACCTCGCGCTATTCTGTCCTCATTCATTGCTTATTAAAGCCAAAGTTTCCCATGCAGGATAACATCTGCGCAGCGCGAGCGTGTGTGTGTGTGTGTGTGTGTGTGTGTGTGTGTGTGTGTGTGTGTGTGTGTGTGTGTGTGTGTGTGTGTGTGTGTGTCTGTCTGCTGGTACAAATCCAAACAGTTGTCCTCCTTCTTACATAAGCAGTCCTGATGCCTGAAAGAAGGCGCTATGCCGTAGCTTGCCTGCATGATCAACAACATGCCCCCGAAGTATAAAGTATGCAAGCAGGTGAGAATGCGGGGGGGTCGCCATTTGCGCCGCCCACCACGATGATGTCGGCCAAACACGTTGAAAGCCGCGTAGCCGCTTATACAGTTAGCTCGCTTAGCTCACGGGGAGAGAACGCCATGCGACAGATCTCCGACAACATGATATTCTATTCTTTTCTTCTTTATGTGACCGGCTTAAGTGGCAGATTAAATAGTTTTAAGTCGCGGATCCGGCGGCGTTATCCCTTAATGCTGAGTGACCAACATGTCGGACGCGTCGCCCTCGGGAAATGTGCCCATCCAAGATGGAGGAGATTCACACAGGACAGGGGGCGGCAGATTTATAAGCGAAATATCGCTAAGCCCCCTCGCAGGATCGGATATTGAAAGAAAATGGCGGCGCGAGAGAGTATAGGTTAAGCCTCAGACGGCGGCGGCGGGAGAAATATGACACACGAGGGCAGGACGTGAAGAGATGAGCGGCGTAGATTTATTTTTAATTGAGCTTGGTGAGTTTGGGGGGGGAAAAAAGTCACTCATTTGTGGGGTAATAAATGACTGAAAATGTGAGACCTTACCATCCCACGTCTGATTCAACAGCGGCCATGTCATCTTCATAAGATTACTGCAACTTCTTTGTCTCAAATAAGATTTTTTTTTTTAATGGAAGCACGAGCAAAGTATGCCTACTGGACATTCTACATTGACATGTCAACTATTGCTCGCGCACGACAGCTACAAACACGAAGTGGATGATGAGTGTCATGACAAAGGATATTCTGGGATGTTCTCATGGTGATGTCATTTGTGATATGCTTGAGCGTAAACATGATCGAGTGCCATGCAGGAAACCGACAGCAAGTCAGAAAAGGCCCGACTGGCGGATGCCGCGAAAAGATTAGCGTGCCCGATCATCCTGAGATGTGGGGTGTGTTAAGAGAGATTTTATTTCCCGGATCTACTTGGAAAACAACCGAGGACAACCAATGCAAATAACTAGGTATGGACCGATGACAAGTTTGAAGGTTTACCGTGATTGTCAAAAGTCAAGGTTTCAATAACTGCTAACACACAAGTCTGTCACCGGTAATGAGCTGAGGGGACTTCGAAGCAGGCCGTCTAGAGTGTGATTGGCAGCTAACAGAGTTGAGTAAAGGAGCCACCTCTTTGAAGTTAATTAGTGCCAGTCGCTCTTTTTTAACTCTCCTTCTCAATGAGCAGAGAGGGTAGGGGCGAGCAGTTACATCTAGAGGAGGAAGAGGGAGAGAGCAAGATGAAAGAGACACTGTAAAAAGATGCAATATGTAATTGCTCTGTTGATTAATGTGCATTGTACTCAAAAAGAAAATAAAATGATGCTAGCGGGTACTTGCTAGCCCTTGGGACAACATGAGTATCTCGTACGCCTGTTCGAAAAATAGCTTCGCAGTGATGGGACACTGTGACTTACTATGCTCCAGTGTGTCAATCTCAGTTCTTAACTGCTGTCTTGTGGCATCTATACACAATTCTACACTTTTTTATTTGAGAGTGGGGGTGGGGGGGCGTAGCTTTGATTATTCATGGAATTTTAATATCTGCAATAGGCTCTTACATGGCTGCAAGCCTTGTGGGGATAAACCTTTCAGATCAGAGATGGAGGGATGGATTTTTAATACTTGGCCCTTTTTTTTGTACAAGTCATAACTGCTGTGTTCTGCCTTCCATTATTCCGGATGCAATTGCACTGCCGACCACTAGATGGCAGCACACCGTTTAGTTTGACGCTGTGTAAATTTGCCTCAAGAAGAATACTGAAAACAGGAAGGACAGCTGTCACTTTAGTTTGTGCTAAAGAATCTTTGAACGCCAAGCCCCTTCAATCCTGCTTTTTACGCCGACACAAAGCGACGGCTGTAAATCGTTGGGCATGATCATTGATGTATAGTGTGAGATGAAAAAAAAAATGGCTTTTTCTTACTGTAAACACAGAGAGCTCCGTACACTGAACAATATTTTTGTGTTATACATTTGTTCTTGCGCTCGCTCAATATAAGTATTTAAATGTTATCTTTATTCTTTTAAAATTGCACTGAAGGACCACTTCATTTAATAATATTGAATAAACCATGTTTGTACAGGCATATATTAAAAAAAAAAAAAAAAAAAAAAAAGATCTCTTCTTGTTTTGAGGCTGGTATGTGGCATGACAAAGGCGCGAAACCGCCAAACGTGCGTGCAAACAACACGCGGACAAACAGACACGGAGGGTCGATGTCATGTGCTGACGATTCTGGTTGAGCGGAGAGTCTTTCGAACTAGCGGGGGACCGGCCGCAGCGCTTGTATTGTTTCACTTGATCCCTCGCCGTCCTGACTAAACAGAAACCACAGAGCAGAGCTCCAAAAAAGCCCGGGGCGCCCAGCGGCAGGCCCCAAAAGGTGTCTGGTGCCAAACGCCTTTGCAAAGCTCACACTGTTATTTCTTCTCATATCACAACTTGCGATGAAACTCAGCAAAAGTTTGGGTTTTAAAGTTCACCGCTCGGTTCACAGGCTGCACAGGAAGGGAACAAAACACAAAGCAAACTTCAAAGGAAGCGGCGTCGGCTTAGTTGTTTCTTTTTAGGAAAGGACAACAACGTCAACATTTTTCCAAACTCACTCGTTGGGCAGTTGTGGATTATGAGCAGATTGGGTTTCTTTTACCCACCATGATCTTGGGTTTATTATTTTGACCAGGCAGATTTGGTGAAAGATTGGTCACTGAAGCTGCTCACCATTTTAGACTGTCCCGTTGTGTCATGAAATGGATGAAAATGTAACAAATGGGTCCAGTTTCAGGTTCTCACAATTTGGACAATGGGATAGGGGTTGAAATCCCGGCAAGGATCAACATTTGGGTCCCTGAGCAAGAACGTTGACGCAAGGAGCTGATTGCAAGCTACTGCCGGTCCTTGCCGGATAAAAATCAGTGAGTTGTGTTGAACATATCGTGCGTGAATGTTGCTTTTTCCTCTTGGTGGAAAATGTTGAGAATGAAATGAGTTTGATTTTTGTGCACAGCTGTACTGGTAACCTGGTAACCCAATCCTGGGTAGCTTTAACTCATCAGCACGGGTAGCTTTTTGACCCCTTTTGGATCAAAATCTTGACCCATTGTCAATCCTCAAACCAATGCGCTTGGTATTAAAAAACAAAACAAAACAAACAAAACAAACCCAGCATTGGCTCAGTCTCTTTTTGACCCAACGCTGGGTTAGCTATTTGACCCAATCAGGGTCACTTGTAACCCAGCAGTT